CGGTATTTTATAAATATACCGTTCGAAATACAATAATTGAATACGAGTGACACATTTTCGTTAAAATGCACGTACACTGCAGGAATATTCGAAACTTGTGTGTCATTTCATTCGATTTCTATTCTTTATTGTTACCCTGTCAACTATAAGTAAAATAGATTGATTTCTGAAATACTTTTTTTTTTTTTTTTTGATTTATAATACGTTGTTTTTCTTGTTTGGGAGGGTGCCTTTTACAAATTTATAACCCGACAGATGGTTTCGACATGAAAGGACTTGGAATTATATTAGGGTTGTTCGTTATCCCACGCTAAAAATAATAAATATCCTTCGTAGAACCACCAAATTTCACATTTTTTTTTCCGGAACGTTAACTAAATATTTTACTGAAATTGTAAACATAATAATATTATGTATAAGATAAGTTATACATAATTCATCAAAATAATATACATATTATTATACCAATGACACGAATTTCGAGTTTCAAGACAACGTTAAGCGTAATTACACCGTTATTAAAAAAATGTAAGTACCTATATCGAGTAATTTGCAATTTTTTTTTAAAAATGTGTCTTTTTCTAAAAATTGATAAATTTGTTTAGTATTTTTAATAAATCTTTTCGCTATGGATTTTATGCCGATAATTGAAAATCTGTTATATGTTACTCCTATATTTTAAAAAAGTAATAGGGTAATATAAGTGAAGTTTTAACTACAGATATGTTTAAAAATATTTCAATAATCATTAAATACCGATCTGTAAACAAATCTTTGCTAATAACAACATGGATTTCGGAGAGAGAAGGGTATTTAACTATAACTAATTTATGTAGATATGTATTTACAAAACATAATAGATTTATTTAGAAATGGACTGTAAACTAATATTACAATGTACTAGTAGTATTACATTATTAAAATTTTACTATTATACTTAATGTTTAATTTATATTAATATAACTCTAATCTGAATAGATCATTTTGTAGTATGTTGATCGCAACACAACGACATATAATGTGTTTAATTAGATAATAATATTTATTTCAGTGTATGTTCATTGTTCATGTACCTAATAATATTATCAAGATCTTTAGTTATATTATTGTTATGGACTTTATAAAATACATTTTCATTATATAATTAGGTATGTATGTACAATTATTTACCAAGCATGAACAATCTAATATTAATTTTTCTATATACATATCGTATGCTATTTACATTAACAAAGTTATCTACGCATTTTCCCATAGTAAAAACTTCATAAACCTACATACAAGTGCTCAAACACAAACATTTGAGTGTTTATTGTGATACATAAAAGTAAAATGTAATATAAGATCGCGTAGAGCAACAAACCTATACTCTAAAGGCAATTATAGGAACGATGGAGACGCATTTAGTTCATCCTACCAATGGATTTGAAAGTTTTTTAGGAAACATTAAAGACACATTTGTATAAGAATATTATAATTTCGATGACAACTGTAAAACTACAAGCTTCTGTAAAAAATGTTTAGGTTAGTTAAGAATATACATTTTTTCGAGAAGATAGCATATGACACGTGTACCATATTTCTTTTAAAAAATGAATTTATTAAAATTCTGATTTCTGAATTTTTTTTTAAGCTAACACTTTTATAAAAACTATTTGCTAATAATAATTTATACTAAAAAAGGGATTCTATTTTAAAAAATAGAAGTTTGTATCTTCATAGGACATTCTTTAAGTAAGTATAGTCCAAAAATCTCAAGAACTTAAAAATCTAGTCTTTCAATGGATATATTTAAAAATTATAAAAATCAAATTTTGAATAACTGAAAATAAAGAAAAAAAAGAAAAAAAGAAATAAACATGCTTATGAATCACTCTGTATATAGTATGTACCTATGAATGTATAATATACATTATACATACTAGTATACTATAAACAGTTTTTCTGTAAGTCGTTGAAAAACATCGTCAACAATATCCTGACCCAAACAAAAAACACTTCAAAATAATTAGATTTTTAATATTTTTTTGTTTATATTTTTAATTTTATAACTATTTTATATCTTACATATTTCAAATTCATTAAAAATATTCACATTTATACATAAAGTTGACGGAAAATGATAAATAATTAATTTACGATATTTTATGTGTTTATAACTATATCTTATATTTTTAAGATACATTGAGCGACCGGTAAAATTTGACTCAAAATTCTAAAACTTCATCAATACAGTTTTCATGGTAAATAAAACCTTATAGTAAGGTAAAACATGTGAAAAAAAAACAAAAAAAATTTTGAACGGCACCCTAATGTATATACTATATATTTTAAATTATAACATAAATTTTATAAAGTATTGTTTGTGTACGTAATATAAATAACGAATACCTACCTTAAATAGTCGCATTATTATTTTAATAAGTCAACCTCATTGTTTTATAATTTATTAAAATATTGAATTATATTTTTTATTTAACGCTATTTTTTAATACGTGATATTTCATAATTAAATAAGATTCATTAATCATTCGGATTCATAGCAACAAGTACACATAATTAAAACAACTACAGTTTAAAATGTTTTAAAAACAATTTATTTTATTAAATTGTAGATATCAAATAGTAAATAAAAACTTACTTAATATGTATATAGGATCGGACTGGGCCGACGGGCGGGTGGGTGATCTCCCACTGGGTTGTTAGGATTTTCGGCCTTACGATAATAATTGTATATTTTAGTCGACAATTGAGGACACGAAATTTTTTTTTAAATTGTTTATTGCAAATAGACCAATGACGACGATGGAGTGAGGAAAAGTCACTTATTCTATCTGTTTAGGCTATTAATATTAAGAAATGTACCTATGCTGGTATAATGCTATTTATATAGTACTATAACATCTGAGCGGCTGAGCTTTAATCTATGATCGCCCGGGCCGATTTTTTACGCTAGTCCATCCCTGTATGGGTTGTATGCATAGTTGAATCAGGTGATTCATACACCCACACTGTACTTAGGCACCCATTTTTTTATAGTTTATCTTTTAGACAGTAGTAGTATAATAATAATTCGTATGAATATACGTTCATAGTATAATATAATCATGGTAGAGCACACAGTTTTTTTTAAATTAGATACGTATAATGTACGTATCTACTATAACTATAAAAGCACTTACATATTATATAATATTATAAATATATATTAATTAAATATTCAATAGTGATTACTTATAAGTTAGTAGTTACTAATAAGTTATAACTAAAAATAATAAATGACAGATGAACAATATACGTTTTATCAATGTTAGAATATGGTTTAAATATTATTACTTAAAGTATGATTTAAAATTAATTATTTTTTATATATTTGTGAAAATAATTAATAGCAGTGATAATAATTTTAATATAATACATTATATTAAAATATAATACAATTATATAAAAAACTAAAATTAAAAGAAACCTTCAATAAAAATCTGAGTTCAAAATTAAAAGTATTTTCGTTTTATTGTTTTAAAAAAAATTATTTCAAAACATTACAAAAATAAATAAAACAACCACGAAAAAATATAATAATAGTTAGATTTTTTAACATGATTAAATTCTAATTAATAATTAGTAATTACATTTGTAATTTTAATATAATGTTCTTACAAAAGTGCCATGAAAAGAAGAAAAAACCATTCGATGTACAAAAAAAAATACAACAATATTAACATTAATTTAGATGGTTCACTATTTATGTACAGTGCTGAAAGTTGGTTATTTAGGGTCCCAAGGCGAAATTAAATTGTGGGCCCTATAACTGTAAACTTTTTTTTTTTTTTTTTTGATAAATTTAAAAAGTATGAATGATTATTATTTTGTTATTTAACATTAGCTATTATATTCTATGCCATTGAAATTTATTTGTATTCATATACATTTATATTGAATAATTATAAAAAACTTGAATAACGTTTCACGTACATTAACAATTTAAAAAATAATAATAACAATATGTTAATAATTAATATTATACAGACGATTCCAAATGAGTTTATATTTATATAGTATTTTTATAAATCGTATCGAAGTATAAACCTACATTACTAATTACAGTTAAGTGTTTTAAATTTGAATATTAATGGACTGCTCTACTATGATAGAATTGTATTGTATATCATTGACGCACTAGACGCTATTCGAGGCATACCGGTGTCAAATACATGCTGTTGTATACACTCTACTTTCTAAATTTGAATTAGTTATTTGTAATTGTATAATAATTAATAAGTTCACATTTCCATTTTTTTTCAGTATAATTGTATTTGGTTATAAATTCCATAGTCATGATTATCTGCTATTTATTAATGTATCGTTATGAGCAAAAGCAGTCATTTGCGGAAATGGAAAACAAAGGTTCCTTTATATGTGATACGATCTTTCACCTTTCTCAACATAAATATCATAATAAAATTCAAACAGACAAACAGAACCGAAAATAAAAACCACCCTGTAACTGAGTCAATGGTTATTTAGTCGAGTTCCGACGAGAGTCGCTTATTGTCATATCGAGTCCTTTGACAGGAAACGAATAGCAATAAAATGTCGGTCTTCGGGGTGAGGCGTAATATTGGTTGGCGAACTAGAGAAAGAGAGAGAGAGAAAGAGAGACAGTACGTGACAGACGAACTGCTGAGGAAGATAGAGCAAAAGCAAAAAAAAAATTAAAAAGTAATTTAACGGATTTTTACTGAATGGTGTATTGTGGGCGGGAGTTCATTCATTGCATGCGTGTAGTGGTTTATTGTCAAGTGGTAATGCGAATCTGGTGGAGAAGCGTGGACATCACATTGTCATTGAGGCGAACAACGGGTCATCGGTCAGGTAACAGGTTTCTAACACTGGCGCTGTGGGCCATTGGAGTCATTGGACATCATTACATCAATTAGTGTTTAGATGTGAACGAAGCCACTTCTATCGCTTCTTGTCTGACATACTAAACTCAAAGTATTTTACTTCAATAGTTTGTTTCTATCTATCAAAAATACTCAAACTTCAAAATGGTAAGTAAACGATATTTGATTTCCTTTAGCATTGTAATATTCGCATCGAAGTCGTTATTCATTTCATACATGTTAGGTACGTTAACGATTATCTAAGCCAGCGGTTCTCAACCGCCAGTGCGCGATAAAACAGAAACCAGCCCAAGTTATGTTGGAAAAAATTATATTTCCAAGGTATATTTTTTTATTTTTTTTTTATAATTGATATACCGGTATTGTTATATTTTATTTATATTTATATAAGCTTTTTAATAAATTTATATACACTAATCTACAAGCAAAACTAAAAAAATAAAATATAACTTTTTTATTTTTTGAACCAAAACCCAAAGTGGTCCGTAGGTCTTACTTAAGAGCCATCTAGGTAATCCGTGACAACAAAAATGTTGAGAACCACTGGTCTAAACGGTCACAGTAGTTGCACCATCTTGACACATCCATGCTTTAGATTTACTTTAGAATCAATCATTATCATCTTAGTTATATTCCGCCATTTTACTATATTTACGGTCGTCATTCTTCCGTCGCCTTTACCGTTTTTATACGTATAACTTTTTTGCCTACTTATTACATTTTTTTAATGTGGATAAGATAAGTAGTTAATTATATTTCTTTAGCTTACTAATCATAAATTATTAGTTGGTATTCTAAGTATCTTACATTATATATTAATAAAAATATGTTCTCAGTAACTTACAGATCTAACTATATTTTTTAATTTATTAGTTCTTTAAATTTATTTTTATCAAAAAATTTAAACTATTCCTATAAACTGAATGATATTATTCAATGCTTCAATTGAGTAATTTTGTTTTTAATTTTTCTATAGTTTATAGTATTAGCTGAATAAGCATAAATATTTTAACAGTTTTGCATAATCAGACTCAATATTATTTTAAGTACAAAATATTATTGGTAGTTTTGAAGATAACTAAATATTTCTATAGGCACTACTCTTCTATAGATTTTATCATACATTTTTTACATACTTAAAATACTAAAATCTGGATTATTATTACTATTCTACGAGTTATAGCTGTTATATATGAACTATATTATTGTTAATTTTTATATCCAATTGGATATTTATTGCATGTCATAAATTCTATTTTTTAGAAAACCCGTGTTCAAGTTTTAATTTCCATTATTTTTATAGCGTGAATGTATTTCTGTACACATTGGCCAATCTGGGGTCCAGATTGGTAATGCCTGCTGGGAATTGTATTGTTTAGAGCACGGAATTACTCCAGATGGTCAAAAGCTATCTGACAAGGCCATTGAAGGAAGATATGATAGCTTTAACACCTTCTTCAGTGAAACTCATTCAGGAAAATATGTGCCAAGAGCTGTGCTTTTCGATCTCGAACCTACTGTTGTTGGTAATTTAGTAGTAAAATATAAAATTTCTATTAAAAAATTTAATTTACACTTCGTTTATAGATGAGGTGAGAACTGGAATATACCGTCAATTGTTCCATCCTGAACAATTGATTACTGGTATGGAGGATGCTGCCAACAACTATGCACGTGGACACTACACTATTGGAAGAGAAATTATTGATGTTGTTTTAGATAGAATCAGGAAATTGTCTGATCAATGCACCGGTCTTCAAGGTATTTTGATCTTTCATTCTTTCGGAGGTGGTACTGGATCTGGCTTTACATCTTTATTGATGGAAAAACTCAGCGATGACTACGGAAAGAAGAGTAAATTAGAATTCGTCATCTACCCAGCCCCTCAAGTGTCCACCGCTGTAGTTGAGCCATACAACTCCGTCTTGACCACACACGCTACTCTTGAACATAGTGACTGTGCATTCATGGTCGATAATGAAGCTATCTATGACATTTGCTGTAATAATCTTGATATTGCTCGTCCAACTTATACTAATTTAAATCGACTTATTGGCCAAATTGTTTCTTCAATAACTGCTTCTCTCCGTTTTGATGGTGCCCTCAATGTTGAATTGAATGAATTTCAGACCAATTTGGTCCCATACCCCCGTATCCATTTCCCGTTGGTTACCTATGCTCCAGTCATTTCCACTGGAAAGTCTAGCCACGAATCATTCTCTATATCAGAAATCACTAATGCTTGTTTTGAACCAGCCAACCAAATGATGAATTGTGACACACGTGAAGGCAGATACATTGCGTGCTGCATGTTGTACCGTGGTGATGTCGTACCAAAGGATGTCAATGCTGCCATCGCTTCCATCAAAAACCAGAAGAGTATTAAGTTTTTTGATTGGTGTTCAACTGGTTTTAAAATTGGTATTAATTACCAACCCCCTACTGTAGTTCCTGGTGGCAACTTGGCTGAAGTACAACGTGCTGTTTGCATGTTGTCTAACACTACTGCAATTAATGAAGCTTTTACTAGATTAAACAGAAAGTTCGACTTGATGTTTTCCAAACGTGCTTTTGTCCATTGGTATGAAAGAGAAGGAATGGAAGGAGAAGAATTCTATGAAGCCCGTGAGGATTTGGCTGTTCTAGAGATGGATTATAATTTGCTTATTGATGAAGAAGAAATCGAGGAAAGTTCCCATACTACTTATGTTTGATTTTATAAAAATGTTATTGACTTCTGTATTTATTTTATTTGGACATTTTTACTATTTTATTAAAAATAAATGTAAATTAAATTACTTTTTTTTTTTTACAAAATTTCATAATATCTTTTACATTGTATTTTTATAATTTATTACCAATTATCTATGTTACTTTATGCTAATATATTTGTAAAGTTAGCTTGATAGTGGACTTAATCTTTTAAGTAAATTTTTTGTAAAAATTTCTCTGGTATGTGTCTAACTTTATCAAAACTTTAAAGACATAGGTCTCTTTTTTGGTCTGTTTAAAATGTACAGTTTTATTTTATAGTAGACCATGTAATATTCATTTTTGTACCGAAAATTAAACTTGTATCACCTTAATATTTCATTATTGATTTATAATTTTATCTTGATCTATTTTGATGTTTTCTACATTAAATTTTGTTAAGTATTCTAGTTCTTTAGTGATGCCTTATGAAATCTATAAATGAAAAATTTTTATACTAAAATAAAAAGTTCTAGTACTTGAGAAAAAATAGGAAAATTTATACTAAGAGGTTTTAGAAAAATCTATTATTTTTATTTTGTTTTATATTATTCAAAAACTAATAACCATATATATATTTGAAATTGTTACTGAATGTTTTGATACATTTTATATACATGGTTTAATTTTCAAGTGGTTGACTTTTATACACTGAAAATTTTTATTTATTTTTTTCAAAAATATCCATTAACAGTTTTTTGCTTTGTCAAAACATGAAAATATAAATCAAGTTTCCTAAGAAGTTTTTGTTACTGGAATTCTACAAAAAATAGCTTGTATTTACATTTTTTTCTCTTTAATCTTTTAATGTTTAATTAAAAAAAAAAAAAATTGAATATTGAATCCGTCATTGGTGGCATACTCTAAAATCACGTGAGAGGTGTCATCGGTCTTTTTGGCCAAACTAAACAAAATGATAAATTTTGATTTAAAACAGACCTTATATTTTAATAATTAGGTTATTATTTTAAGCCAGTACAATATATTTATAATATTATGGAATATAATTCTACATAAATTAAATACTTTTGCATTTCATTAATTTTCAAATTAGTGATATATTTTGATTTTAAATTTGTCGGTTAAATTATTGTAATGATAGCCACATATAACGCTATGGTGGTGGCATCATTATAGTCCCTTGCATGTACATAGTCGCACATGTGTCCAGTAAATCGTTCACTCGATAGTGAACATATGTGGTCAGACACTGTTATGTCCTTTGACCATTGTATAGTTTTATTACACCATCGGCCAAAGGAGACACCCATCAACCATCGGGCTCTGGGGCGCGACATCACTCTCCCTACGTGCGCCTTTGGTGATGGACATACGTTTAGAGCCAATTCATGTAAAATAAATGCTTATTCGTGTCTTAATTTAAAAACAATAAACCTATTACTTAATTCAATGTAAGTGTTATGTCATTTGTGTTTTATTTTAATTGATATTATATTTGAGTGAGTTAACATCACACCTATCCACTTTTTCTACACTGGGTGCATTCAATTGCTGTTAAGTCTACAGTCAGACAAGGGTAAGTCAATTTATTTCATAATATAAATCCTTATATATGTATCTGCATATGTGTGCAGATATATACATAAGAGGGTGTTAATCTATTTTTTTGATTTACTACATTATCAACTGTAAGTAAGAAAAAATTACTAATAATTAATTAGCTACTAAAAACAAAAAAATCAATATACTTAATTTATATAGGTAAATACAAAAAATAAATAAATTTTACGTACTTTTTTTGTGATACTATCTATTTTATTAATTATAATTGATAATTAGTTATTTATATTTATAGAGAATATTTATTGAATTTTAATAATAGTGTGTTTTTTTTTAAATTGTATTATTTTAACTCTAAAATTGACAAAAATTGTACTATTTTAGAATAGAGTACGTTAAAAATTATTGGTTCAGTAACTCAGTTACTATCTATACAAAGTAGCTTTTGTTAAATTAGAAATTATTGACAAAAGTAACAGGTAACTTTTTTTTAGATTGATAATTTCCTGATTAATACACCTGATAGATGGACAAAGATAAACACTACAATCTCATTGGTCATGTTAGAATTAAGTAAAAGAGTTAAAACAAATCAGCATTAAAAACTAAAACAAAAATTTATATAACCATGATAATATACATGTATTATAAAATACATTGATTATAGTATTATACGAATATACTATGACATATATATTATAATATTTTATTATAAATAATAATACAAAATTAAAAATATAGATAAGTAGGTACTTAATTTCCATTTATTAAAACTTTACCCCCTCCCCCTTAAAATTGATAAATCCCGCATAGGCCACTGCCCACTGCACCAGTTTACAATTTCATTGTGGTTTAGAGTACATTTTACGTTCTAACTTTTAAACTCGATAGGTACTAAAACTTATGATATTATGTCAGTGTCATTATAAAATAAATAATATTAGAGATGAGTGTATGATAATGACATACCAGACCAGATCATTGTATAATCAATAACATAATGAAATATTATTATTATCCCATCGATCCTAGTTTTATCTATATTCTTCATCAACTATAATCATATTTTATAATAATAAAGTAGGCACCAAAGAATCATCTGCGACCATGACAACGTTCCAAAAGTTTCCATGTAAAACCGATTATTCTTATATAATATAATATGTATTATGTATTTGTTGTTTTGAATTATTATTTAAGGTCACCAGACACCGGCAGACACTGCAGATAAAATAACAATTAACAACTAATTTTATTCGATAAAATCAAAACCGAACGAGAGATATATACCAGTCATATTTTAACGATATGAGTCCGCCTTCGAATTACTACGTACAAAAAAGTAACAACAACGATGTAAATAGATGATAATATCGCATCGCATATAGTAATAACTAATAACCATAAGTGCAAAATCACATAGGCGCTAGGGAGGTTTAAAACCCCTTATTAAGAAATTATGGCTTCCCAATATTTTTCGTTGTACGAGAATTTAAAATGATCACAAAAAAATTGTTTATCCCAGTTATTTAAGTTAGTAAAATTTACATTTATTTTCCAATTTCTTCGGCTACTGTCTATTCACGAGCGTAACTCTTCATTAACAATAAACTATACATAAAGATTTAGTGCCAGGAACGATTTACGTTTTTAACTGTGCTCCATAATTTTGAAAGCAATGTTAATATTAATGATGAAACAAAATGTTAAAGAAATTTGAAGGTGAATTTGCGCTTATGGTCCAAATTATACTACTAAGATAGTAAAAAAATTTTTGTATAATGAACGCTAGGTCCCAGCATTCGTGTAGTAGCCATAGCGAGTGATCTACCATGGAAAATGATTTATTAGAATAGGTAATAATAATTGGCGATTTACTGTTAACTTGTATCAGTAACATATTTTTCAAACATAATTATTTGTTGTACACCTATCAAATTATTTATTTCATTTGCGCAAAATAGTTGTTTTATTTTTGGAAATTGTCCAATCATTTTTTTTAGGGGAAAGGTGACCAAGAAGCTGAATAACACCATATCATCGCCAATGCTGCTACACGAATGCCATCATAACCTAACGATGTATGCGGCGTAGATATAACTACAATAACGATTTAATATTAAATATTATGCTCGTATGTGACTACATATGAAATTTACAATATTCGTGGTTTAACCTTGTAGTGAATATTCTTCTTTTTTTTCTTAGTTATTGTCGGTTTACTATATTGACAAACATATAGGTACTATGCCATCTCTCTTTGTTTAACGCTAAGACTCTAGGAGTTATTTGTATGTAATAACTAATAAATGTTTGAGCAAATATATTAAAAAAAGAACATATTAATTAATTATTTTTAAAATAAAAAAAGACTCCATCAAAAATTCTTATGTGACAATTAAAATAAAAAATTATTTAGTTTATTTAAAAGGCTTTGAAAAATTTTGATAAAAAAAAAAAATACTAGGCAAGTATGTAATTACATATCATGTAAGTGCATACATTACAAAAATCCATAAACTTACATTCTTAAGTTATTTGTCCTGTTCTATAAATCTTACTAAAGTTGAAAGAAAATTTGTTTTAACTACTAATTGTGCATAGTGTATACGTATAGGTTGTATCGAAATTTCGTCATTTTTCTCTAGGAATATATTTTTATTTTTAAAATTTAAAAAATGACATGTTTGAAGTTTATCTTATTTATTAGGTATATATTTTTTTATTTATTATCATGTTTTATATTTAATATGTAGGAATTAGTATATGAACATATTTTATTTTATTAGAACTTGGGTACGTTTATGTGAATTTTATTTACTACGTCACTTGTAAGAACTTCCAACCGTATTAACTTTTAGAGGTGCTAAGCTATAATGATACAGAGACAAGTCCCTCAGGTATGCCTTAAATTCACCCAGACCATAAAAATATAATATGTAACAGTAAAAGTACGAATATCTAGTTTACTACGACTACTGCTGGCAAATGTCCGAATTTTGGATTTTTTTCTTAAATATATTGGAAAATTTTAATATAAAAATTAAAATATTTCAATTAAACTTTGAACGGTTATTAAAGTAGAGAGGTTTTAAAAATGAGAAACGGTAAATCTTATAGGATAAATAATTTCTCATGACTTTTAGTCTAAAATACAAGAAAAAATCTTAAATCAATTAATAATTATTTTACAATTAAAATAAATATTGTCTATATGGCCTATGAAAATTATAATTGAATACCTAACCTACATCAAATGCATGTAGAATATATTATATCTTACGCAAGAATATCCATAACAAAATAAAAAACGCTGTAGAAAAAAATTATTATTATAATTTATTTTTCGTTTAATTATCCGATTTTGTTTAAATTTAAACTTCTGATGTCAATAAAAAAAATTATAATAATTATAGATTTTCATTAAATATATTTTTAAACTGCTACAGTAATAAAAACTCGCGTAATAATTTCCAATAGTCGTATTTATAAGTACAGTTGAAGTTTAATATTGATACAAATAATTGTATAACTATCAGATCTATTTTAGATTCTAATCAGCAATGAATGTATTGATTTTACTATGTGTTTTTTTTGTCTGTCATCACTTTTTGGAGCAGTAAAAATGTTTCTATTTTAAAATTCAGCATCTTTTCTGGTAGGAGAGTGAATTTAATTGGCAATTAAAAATTAAATTCAAGGTTAGGTTATCAAAAGTGTATCATATTGAAATTTAAATACCTAAAAAATATATTAACACAGTTTTTTTTCATAGATAATTGAAGTTTAAATTTGGATGAAATTAGAAATTTTAACAATTATCTTAGGTAATTACTATGTACTTAGTAATTATCCAAAAATATTATTCATAAGTTTTGAATTTTTTTTAATCTCTATATCATTCATAACTACTTTTAATGATATTTTGCAAAATATACTTTGATTAGTTTTAATCTATTTATATAATATAAACAACAAATTTATTCACGTTGTTTGTATAATTATTAACTTATAAGTTATACGCAAGCCGTTCACATGATCACGATACTGTGAATAAATCCAAGCCTCTTTATATTAATAATAATATTATAACTTAATTCTATCATTTTTATTTTTTTATTTTTACGAAATGGTATTTTACCACCTTAAACTTAAATGTTGTAGCTTCTTTAGTTGTTGTTTATTATAAACTTGTGTACAATATTCAAAAAATTATTTATAAATAATGAAAAATGAAATAAAATATAAATATTCAAATTAAGGTGTATCGTTATAGATTACGTACAATATGTAAATAAACACATATTATATTATTTAGTATTAAATAATTACTTAATTTCAATTTTCATTTGTAATTGAGGGGCGACGATGCAAAACGTGCCTACTATTGCCAAAAATATCAAAATTTCAGATAGTAAAAACCGCGCGGAATCGAATTTCGTGGTCAGATTTGGCTAAAACGTATTATTTCCAGTGTATATTTGATCATAAAGTTTCATGATTTCTGCATAACGCACCATTTCCATTGCTAAAATCTTATCAAAAAGAACTGTTTCAAAATTACATGAAAACGTACTATTTCCCATGCTATTTAGTGTAAACTTAATAAATATTAAATCAAAACGTACCTACTGTTTCCTAAATTATGTGCAGAACGTACTATTTCCAGGTTGAAGCTAAACGTTATATTTCCCATGTTAAAATGTATCTATATCAAATCAATTATTCGCAAAACGTACTATTTCCCAGTGTAAAAGATTTTATTGACATTAATGACATTTCAATTTTAATTGTTTTTGCTTTAATTATTTAATTGTGATATAATATGGGACTTCGTTATTTTATTTTATTTACTAGTTGGTGCAACTGATAAAATTCAGTACCTATAAGTTTTGGCACTGAATATTAATCACAAACTTTTCGCTCCAAAAGTGTCTATGATGACTATCGTGTTATTATGATAATATACTTCACCTACTATGCGAGATGTGAGTACAGAGTACATGCACAGCAAAGTCAATTGTTATAATAACCGATACTTTTATGTACAATATTAATGTTTTATTTGCAACAACTTAATTAAAATGTTCAACTCGAGAACCATTAAAATGGCCGCATGTGGTCAAATTAAAAACAGAAGAAATGGATTATAATGAGTCTATTCAAAAAGTGTCAAGATGATTAGAGGTATGAAAAAATAAATTTATTGGTATACGACTTTACTTATAGAAGACTTTTAAGTTTTAATTATATTGTTAAATCATTAAATAGTAGATAAATACTGTATGCCCTTTTTATTACTACGATACCTAATAATTTGTAGTAATAGGAGGTACCTATATCAAGAAATAAAATAAAACAATTTTATATTTTATTTATTTTTTTTAATTGATTTCATAGTAAATACATAGGCAGATATTATGTAGAATAAATTGAAAAAAAGATAAATTCATATTAAATGTATTTTGGGTATTACTCCAAATACTTTAATTTGAATAATAAAAATAGTTGATTTTGTATTATAAGTGTTGTGTTTAATATTTTATTTATATTATTACTAGATTATAAACTGTTTAACTTACTATGGTTGTTCCAATTTATCAAATAATTAAGATTAAGCTATCAAATTTAACTTGAATTTAATGAATTCTATATTTTATTATTAGGGTTAGGTAAAATTATATCAAAATGTACTATTTTCATTGAATTTTGACAAAACGAACTAATAAGTAGTAGAAATTTTAATAATTGTTGAGCTATTATAGTTACATACTAAAAGCTAATAAAAAAAAAAAAAAGTAGTAGAAATACTACATTTTGTCACGATTCACTTTAAAAAATGATGTTTAAATTTACCAAAACTTAAACTTAAATATAAACAAATATCATAAGTAAGTTCAGTTTTTTTTATGCATTTTTTGAATATTTTAGATTTTTACTATGACTTTTTGATAAGCTACCTACTGTAGAAAATCAATGTTTCTTAAAAAAGCAAAAAATGGAAATAGTAGGTACATTTTGCATTGTCGCTCCTCAATTGAGCTTTTTTCTCTTGTTTATTTTTTTTTGCTTAGTCGTTTATTATACCTACTATTGAAGTTAAATTTTAAGTCAAGTTGGTTTTCAAACAAGTTTTAAGTTGATTTCCTAACTCACTAAAAACTTTTTTTGCTTCAGAGACAGTGATTAGTAGAGTACAAAACTGTATTTGAGCAATAGAAGTAAATATCAAAATAGCTTTGATATTTTTTTCAATAGTTTTAAATTTTAATAGAAATATTTCAATTTCAGTTTGAAAAATAATAAATTATGTTATTCATCTTAAATAATAACTTAAAAATAAAACTTTACATTTTTATTTTTCTTATTTATATTAATAAACTATGTCATTTGTCCGGGCCTTGATATGTAAATGTAATATCTTTTTCAAATTTGAATTCAACCTATCTAGTATTACAAATAGATAAACAAATTTCTAGCATGACACACTGTGTCATTTATATGTATTATCGTATACAATAATTTGTATTTAAATTTAAATATAACACATTGACTCATTCGACTCCTGTATTGTAACTGTTTGCCTACCTATTTTTTACATTTCATAATTCTTTGTTTATCCTATAAGATTTACAAAATGTTCTTGTTTTTAAGAGCTAAAATAAACATTTTGAGTTTAATCGATCTATTTGTACCTATACATTCTTAGAGCTTATAATTTGGTAATTTGCGGGTTGTATTCGTGGATTTACTATAATATATATTATAATATACAAACATTAAGTATTCGACACCTACGCCAAAAGTCAACTAACTTTTGTGCAAAACTTCGCGGGACATGCGGCCAAACTGGAGTACGTCGAATGCCTCAGTAAGTGTAACGCGGTTGAAATAGTCCAGCCGCTGTTGGACAATATCGACCCAGAGGTGAGGGTGAACGCGGTGCTGGGCTTGACGATGTTGGCTGGTAATAGCAAAAAATGTGCCAAACAAATACTGTGTGCTGACAATCTACTGAAAAAATTACTTGGACAGATTGCCAACGAAAACGTACGTATGAACAGGTAATAACTAAATGTTGTAAAATGCAAGAAGAAAATTTTATTTAATTAGTTTACTGATTTATTCGTACTTGTGTCTCACCAACTTACTGTAGCACTCTTTACATTTTCTTTAAAATATTGCTTGTTTCTAGTCTTCTTTATCATAATTTATGATATGAAGTATGTTTAAACAGGAATGACCATCGTATATATGATTCAAGATTACCAATTTTTCTTCTTTTTTTTGTATATACCTATAGATGAATACTAGTAATACTACTAATAATATGGACAGCGAGGTGGTCAGTATGCGGATAAAGATGAGCATATAAGTCCATTTGACCTTTTTTTGATTATTATAGTCTATAACTCTCATTAGTTATTATTATCTTGTATAAAAAAAAAAGTTTACTCCAGGTTTCTTAGTATCTAAAGATTTCTTTGGTTATTCAATAATGTATTTTGAGATGTTCAATCGCGCTTTTGATTGTAGGAATAATGCTTTGCATTTTAACTTTGAACATGAAGCCTGATAATAAATTAAATCTAATTTATGCTTTGGAAGATTAAAAGACCGTTCTAATAATCGCTAAAATAACTATGAAAAATAAAAATAAAAATAATTAGAAAAATCAGGAATTAGTGTTTTTTAAGCGAAACTTGTTTTTAACTAAATTTAAAAATTAATAATTGTAGAGTGATGTAAAGACTAGAATTTTTCACAGTATATTTTATTGAATATTATTATTTTTTCTTTGTATTAATGCATAAATATAATTTTTGTTTTTGAGTAAAAGGTTTGAAAAATTAATAGGTACAAGACTCTACATAACCACAAAATATATTTTTATATAGTTATATACTTATATCAATTAAGATATAATAAGTTACAATTTATTATAAGCGTTTAAAAAGCTTATATTTTTAAAATATTGATCAAAAAACATACATTTTTAAATTGTTTTCTAAGGGAATATTCATAATTTTTTTCAATTAAAGCTAATATTTGAAAATTTAGTACAAAATGTATTACGTTTTTATTTGTTGAAATAAAATAAAACAATTTAAATGTAAACCTAAATCATAGTGATATTAGTTTAAATTTAAGCAAAAATTGAAATTCAAAAAAAAAAAAATAAAAAACAATATTAATTTATTTTTGTACTTAACAAATATTCATAGGGAATTTAAACTTTTAATTTATTACTTATATTATTATACTTTAATTGATTAAAAAAAATATTTTGATTAAATTTAAAGTATTGCTTATATTTTATAAAATAAACTTATTCGTACTGTTCTGTGTTGGTAAGTTGATATTAAAAGTCAATAATAATAATATATGATATAAATATCAAATATTAATAGATATTACTACATCAACATTTATAAAAACGCAATGTTATTTAGTTTGAAAAGTTGTAAAATAGCCATAAACCATAATGTATTGTTTATTAACTATTTAAGCGAACATTTTTGCTTTGAATTTTTTTTTAAATAATTCATAACACATTAAAAAAAAAATTAAATGATTTAGCTTTAAGCGCTTTTTTAATGATACGTTTATTATTTTTATTTATCTATGATAATTTTTTCGAATAGAATTAATCCAACTATCTTATGCTTAACTTGTTTTCGGTAACGATGTTTGATTATAATGTGCATTAAACTTAACTCTCACGTATTTGTGTGATACACGCGTAAAATATATCACGAAAAAATATTTAAATTACTTGCTATACATTTGATTTCATAAAATCGATTTTATTTCTTATAATTTAAAAACTATCAACGTAATATTAATAATACTTGATATTTAATATTTTAACTCTCATAACGTTTATTGGGGGATTTTATACAGTTAAAGTTAGTATAATTTTTAAATATCCAATTTAAAATTTGTAAAACTGTTCCCCAGGTAGTATTTCTTAGTAAATTCTGATTCTTAAACCGATATTTTTTAATTCAAGAATATTTATTATTTTATAACATTAAATATTAAGCAAAAAAAAAAAAAAAAACAATAATTTTAAGTAATATTTTTATGTACAGCTCAGTATTTTGGATTATATAATGTATACTGTATAATACTCATTTATTGGTAAGATACTAGCTAAACAACGATTATCAAAAATGCTTCAATTTTCAATATTGATATTTCTGGTAGCAAATTTCTTCTTGTTATTACTTGCGAAGAGTGGTCAAAAATATATTTGTACTAATTTTCTTAATAATTAAAATAAACCAAAAATATAATAACGGAAAACTAAAATTTACGCAATACCAATATATATATATACATAATAGGTATATTTTTGTATAAGTTGGTCTTATTTATTTCTTCGGAGTCATGTTCCATCGCCACTAAACAAAGTTTCAGTCACGGACGTGTTTTGTCTTGTTATACCAATAATTTATATAATGCTACAAATAAATTAACCTGGATTTATTAATGTTGTATTATAAATAACTAAGTATTATGATTATTTTTTACATAATATTCGTTTTTTTACTGCAATAGAAATGTTACAAAAAGAATTGCATGAATCTCATTCGGAATCTAAGTAAACACTTGTCTTGCTCTGAAATGATTGTAAACGAATGTGACGGAATACACGCTATTTTAACATGTATGAAGGACTTAGACGTACTAGTCAGAGAAGTAGCTTTGCAAGCAATAAGTTTTATAGCTGGTCAAGACCCCAGTATTTCACAAGTCATCATAAAATCTGGTAGGTACTAGTATTAATTCAAATTATCATAAGCTATCTGTCAACTTGAAATGCAAGTAGATTAAATCAAGGGCGGGTAAGCACTTTTTTGTTTTAGGGTAAATGTTTATAAAAGGAATAAAAGGATACACACGAAAATGTCACGAATACCACACTACACAGAACCATAAAATTGATTTAACAACTCTTTCTAACATTATTTAAATTAAATTTTATAGTATTTATCGATAATGTTCTGAATACAATAGTCATGTTCAATACATTTCAAAAATATAAAAATTAATTTTAGTATTAACTTAGTATTTATTATAATGTATAGATACAGGCATAAAATATTAACATACAATCATGTATACATTTTTTAGTAAATTTTGGTCGTGTCTTCTTGGACGCCTTGTTAGGCTAAGACTACAAACAGTTAAGAACCATGACAAAAATGTCATAAAAAAATTACCGCACAAACCTATCCGCTCCTAAATTAAGTAAACGACAGATGCAACTATAATTTTAAAGATTTTTTATTAGTATTAGTAATTACTATAATTTACAGTTATATTTTTAAATATTAAACTTTATCTTATTAGCTGTAACTAGACTATGTTTATAACCTAGAAACAATACTTACCATAGTAGGTATTGCATATTATAATAAAGTAAAAACTAACGTTGACATAATAATAAAACTGTAAACAATTATTCGAAATGTTTTAGTCAAAAAATAATTTATTACCGAGTAAAAATACAGCATAAAAATTTAAATTTTTGATTGTAAAATATTCAAGATTGCTTAAATCAATTTATCAGTATTTTTTTTTATAATATATCTATATTGTATTATTGTTTTAAATAAACTTTGTTTAAGTGTGAATTAAATTGTTATCAATCTTTAGTTTCTTAGTAAAGTATATTTTTTTAAGATCGACTTAGTCAAACTTAGTTAATATTCATACAGTTTCTTTGATCTGATAATGTTATTACATATATGTTTTTAAATGTACAGGTATACTGCCTCAAATTGTCCAAAGCTTAAGAGAGGAACGACACAATCTTAAATTATATGGTTTGTCTACATTAAGCGAAATAGCCAAACACAACCAACAACTAGCCAAACAAATTGTGGATGTGCAAACTTTACCTAACGTGATAATTTTTTTATCGACTGATTATTTTACAGACGTCAAACTTCAGGTATATAGTTAAGTATGGCAACAAAAATCATATTGAATGTTTTTTATCATATCATTGTGTAAATTTTAAATCAATTTATTTTAACTACCTACTTTATATTATATAAGGTATCTACTAAATATGCTAAAATGTATTATATTGTATAATTATACATATTTATTCTTTAAATAAATATTTATAAGGTACGTACGTACCTATTTATTATTTATTATCTAATTTTTATATAAACCTATAATCAAGATTTATAAATATAAATATTTTAATTTATATTTTATGTAAAATGTTTTACATTTAGTTTTTTAAAATGTTATTTAAAACATGATAAAATAATAATTTATAATAATTTATAACATATTATAAATTATAAGCACACTTAGTTTTGTCTTACAATATCAGAATAATTGTATTGAATAAATTCGCTTTTATTTTGTTATACCTAATCATTATATTATTATTTTTTTTTTTAATATTTCTATATTAATTCTTAATATTAAACTATTTTAGGTGAATGCGTTAGCATTGATGAAAAATATTGCTAAACACTCGTTGTCTTTAACCGAAATAGTAGTCGAGACAAATCTATTTCCAGAAATATTGCTACTGATGGCGCATCCCGTTGAATCTATACGTTTTAATTCGGCCGAAGTCGTTTACGAAATAGTTAAGCATTCCATTCAAGTACGATCGCACATTTAATATATATTAATTATTACTTATACGGTCGTTCAATGGTTCGATCATTTTTTAAATAAATGTATAATCCACCAAATACTTCCTTTTTTTTAGTATAAAAGTCGAGTGTCTAACTACAGCTAACTCGAGTTTAAAATATTGAACATACGTATGTATATTATCTTGTACATTATTTAGATTTCGAAGATGATCGTGACTACTGGTGGAATAGTTTCATTGTTAAATGTAATTTTGAAAAGCAAAGAATATCCTTCTACTCCAGCTATACTCGCGTTGGGATGCATATCCTCCGTGTCACCATTACTCGCGACTGCTGTTATCAAGTCCAAGGTTTGAATGTTTACATTACTATACTTTATTTTATTAGATAAACCTATATAAATATATAATAATACATGTACAAAATGGTTCAAAGTTCAAACACTAGCAAAACGCATTTTAATATTTACATAAATAAAATTCAAAGTTTCATAAATCATATAAATCATATTATTTATATATTTAATTTGGACTTTTTCAATTTTAGCTATTTTACGCGTAGATAGATATTTAAAGAAATTAGATAAACTTATAAATGTGATTTTTTATAATCATACATAATATAAAATTAATGTTTAGCAAATAATTTTTACAAGTAGGAATTTCGTTAATTTCAATATCAACAATATACGCGGGTAATTTAAATGTTTCAAAATGATCTTATTTGTCACTCACGGTTTTATCACAAATATACATACATCAATTTATTTAGGTTTCTAAATATAATTATTAATTATCATATTAATCAATCCAAATTAATATTTTAAAAAATAGTAAAATAATCATTATGTTTACTATAAATTAATAATAATATTATTATATTTGTACCTACATTATGAAATTAAATTTTTCTTATTTATTTAACTTAACCGTTATGGTATTGTGTGTGCTGAACAGTGATAATTATAAATATTTCTAAATAATTTAATGGATTTAGTTAATCAAATATTATCTATTACACTTAAAGTTTCTAATTTAATTGTAATCATTAATACTAGTTGTATACATTTACATGAAATAAATAAAAATTACGAAATTATATTTTTCGTGCAGTGTAAATCAATGTAAATATTTTAATCGACCATTCTGTGAAATGTATTAATCATCTTGATATATACCTTATATAGTACATATAAAAATGTTAAGTGAACTGTTTCTGACTTTCAGGTATTGAAACATTTGACTGCCATCCTGAAAAGCGATTTAGACGACGATTATCTAAAAGCCAGTACAGCTTGGACATTAGAAATGATAGGTCAACACAGTTCTAAACATTCGAAATCCATTTTTACTTGCCACGCCATGAGCGCTATGATTGATGTGAGAAAAAAATATTTAAATCTATTATACAAACAATAAGCCATATGCATATGACGTATGACGTGTTATTATCAATAAGGCTTTTTTTTATTCAGGTTTATAATAACACAAGTTCGACGCATGAGGCCCATTGTAAATGCAAAAATGCCATTCAAATTATACTAAACAAATGCGAAGATTTTTCTGTTATAGAAAAACTATTAACACCGTCTATTCCTATTCAAATAATGATAGACGTACTTCTTAAAATTAGCAAAGTATTTTTCGTTAATTATGTAATTTATACATAAATTATATTAAATTTTAACGAAAATTATCATAAAATTTAAATCTTTATGTAACATTATAATATAAAAGTTACCTTTTTAATACATATCAATTTGAAACAATTATGATGCCTACATTTTTCATATTAATTCATATTACACTTGGTTTAATCATTAATTTAAATTTTACATCAATCTATCATATAATAATTAGGTAAGCATCACTTTAAGTTTCCAATAAACTATGTTTATTCTATAATAATCTATAATCTATATCATTAATTTTCTGATATCACTTTATCTATATTAATGCAAATTATTTTGTTGTTGTTTTATTTTTTCTCGATTATACATTGATCTATTATAATTTATAACTATATTTATATATTTAATGTATTTAACCTGTTAAATTAAATTTTAATATATTTATCTATTTAATTTCGCTTCCGCTAATTGTATTAAAATCAATAAGTATATTATTGTTATCATTATCATTAAAAGTTATAACAAAATATTACATTTTTTGATTTAGATGTTACCAAAAAGTTTCAAAGCACGGCGGATTTTTATCAATAATGGGCATTTGAAAATGATTCAAAATCTTAAACCAGAAATCAATTCATATTTATATCATGTTATCAAATCTGTAAATTGTTGCTTTCCAGAGAATATACTACAGTAAGTTTAACAAATTTAGCTGTTAAATTTAATTTTTAAATATATTTTTTTTCATTTAAATTTATAAATAAGAATGGTAGCTGGAGAAATTCCAGAATCGATTTTGAAAAAATTGGACAATTTTGTACCCAAAAGTCAATATTTGTTAAACGATCAAGATATACAAATGAGCAATAGTTTCACCAACCCTGATAAGTAATTAAGAACACTATCCAAGATAGAATCGGTATTTAAATATGATAACTTTTTATCCGTTTAATAAATTTATTTATTGACCCTATTTAATTGATAAATATATATATTTTATCTGCATAATGTGTAATTTTGTTTGTAAATATAATTTCTATACATAATACACGCATAATCACGTGATGGATCCACGAGGAAGGGGTGAAGTCAAGGATTCAAAGCTCTTCTACGTGTATCATACCGTACACATACATAATTCCATATTAATTAAAGAAATTCATAGTCTAATAGTTAAATATAATATGTATAATAAGAAATAAAATGTTATTGTACTGTTTGCTTTCTGTCTTTGGCCCACGCTATCAACATAAACAAAACGCATTCAGATAAAATTATTTGTAAAAGTTTTTAAGTAAACTTAAAGTATAATCACTAATCACAACAATGTTTACAACTTGTATGCGCACATTCAACACGTTTTTATCTGAAAAAAAAAATATAAGTAAAATGAATACAAAAATAAAACTTTTGATCACTTAACTTATATCAAAAATATATCATATTGAATTTAATAAAATAATAATCAACGTTTTAAAAATGTCAATAAAACACACGCACATTTTTAATATTGCTGTGCAGACAGATCTAAACCTGTTATAATGTAAAAAAGAAAATGTTACATAAACAGTAAACACATAGTGTGTTTTTTTTTGCAAAAGAGTTGTAAAAACAGTAAATGTGCACAAACGAGTTACAGCTAAAAACCATCGAGAATAATATTTATGAAGATTTGTATCAACTGTATCTGTTTGTATAAATATTGTCACAAAACAAAATAATATCCATTTCATTTTTTCAGTCAAATAATAATAAAATATAAAATGAATACGTCAAACTTTCAAAAAAATTATCTTTTATAATTTTTATAATTGATGATTTTTCATTAAAATTATACTTAGCTCTGTTATACCTTTGGTGTCGAGAAGGTTATATTAAAATTAACGGGTTAAATTTGAATTTAATCAGATATCGAGTACACGAAAAAAGAGTCTGAGTAGATACTGTTTACCAACTAAACACTAAGTATATTTTCATATCATATTTTTTGATATTCCTGTTAGGTAATGCGTAATTTATTTTACTATTGGTAATACACAGTAGGTTGAATTAATTTTTTACGAAAATATTGCATTTGAAAATATCAGTATTTTTAAAATTAAATGATGTACGTAAAAGTGTATGTCCTTGCAAATAATGTAATTGAACTATAAAATAAATAACAAATATTGCTATTATACATAGTTAAAATGGTATATAATTTTTTCATAATTTGTATTTAAATATATATATATATATAAAAAAAAAAAAAAATTAGAATTATATATTTTTGACTTTTTGGTTTCAGTATAAATTATTATTGACGAATTTTTTATTAAATATTTAACCCTTTCCTAAAAAAAATTGCACATTTCATAACTTTTCAACCACCTAGAAAATAATCTGTAAATAACTCATGATTCTGATGAATTATATCAAACTTTAAACTTCTAATGCTCATAAAAAAAAAATTTTGCTATGCATTTTAAATATTTTTATAAATCTATATGAACAACTTTTATGGAATTTTATAATAAATTTGTGTAGCTTTTTATAAAAATAAGAACTAAAAAAAATCTCTATAAATAGTACATAAAGAATCAAAATAATTAGTTAATTATAGCTTGTAAGAAATTTTAGCATAAACATTTAATGAACATTTTAAGCATCAATAGTTATTTGTTTTTGAATTACTTAAAAAAATCAAATAACAGTGTTGAAATTTTCAATTTTTAAAGTTATATGGTTTGAAAATGCAGCATAAGGTTTCTCATAAATTATAATGCATTATGTATCCAACAAATCTAAAAAAATATTAAACACGTGTAAGTAGGTACTAAAAAAATATTTATTTTATAAACATTTTAAGTTAAAATTCTGATGAAATTAAATATTCGAATAAGAAATAACAATTTCAGTTATTTTGTTGTGATTTAAAAATATTATTTGTGATAATTTGAAATTTTAAACGTAAATATCAATAAATTTTATAAACCTACATAATAACATTTTCAAATACAATGTTTTCAAGAAAAATGTCTTCAACCTATCATAGATTACTCCATTACTTAGCATTTATGGTAAAATAAATTACTTCAATAATAATATCAAACAATTTATCGTGAAATATGCTCTGTAATATAATATGCTGTTTCCTCTCTGAATTGTTTTTCATAATATATAAAGATTATATAGTTGCTTAGTAACCTACCTTTCCTCTTTTTGTTAGTTTGTTTATCGTAGTGTATATATATATAAATTATACAAGTACAATATATTTATTTTTCGTACACATGTACTGAAATAAAATTATCACTAAATGATAATTTACCGATAAGCACAACTACTAAGCGATAAACATAATACTTTTTTGTACAATATTCAAAAATGTATAAGATAAATATTTGTATTGCGTACATTACGAATATCTTTGTCCTCTTCTTATATGATAGTTACGTCTACCATAATTTACTAACAAATAACCAAAAGATAAATATTGTGTAATCTTTAAATGTTCGTCTGCTCCCGATTACAATAATTATATTAAATAGGTGTTTAAATAATATCAATTATCATTGTATTTACATTTGTCAAGGCGGATAATCCAAAAAAGATAGAAAAAAACATAATAGTTATTGACATTTTAGATTCTTATAACCGAACAAACAATACATTAATTTTAAAATTGTTTATTTGTTTTGTGTGTGTGTATGTAAATATATGTTTCATAGATGTAAAAACTTCAATTTTCAACTTTGGTTTAATTTCTATAAGTAAATTTCTTTTAATTGATTAGTTGCAAGGGGGTCAAAATTAAATTTTCTCTTGAAACCTACTGTACATCAGCAATTAGGTGATTGTTACTTACCCACTTTTTATTTAAACTATATAAAATATATTATGTAAATGTGTGATGACGTATGTGGTCACGTAATGAATAATTAGTTATATCCAACTATTCAAGGCCCAAAGTATGTAGGGGATCAAATGTCCACATTGCATACATTATATTATAATATTTATGTAATCTTTAAATGATTCTAACGACATAAAATAGTCAAGAAACGCTTCATTTATTTATATATTTAAGAGTTATGAGTTATGTATTTACATAGACTTACTGAATTAAAAATTTCTTATTCAATTTTTAGGAATTCTACGAAAAATGACGCCGCGAACGTAATCGTGATAAAATCGATTTATTACTCCTTAAATATAAATATATGATATACATTATATCATATAATATAAAAAAAGGGTTACAATTTATTAAGTCCTACATCATTTGTTAAGTGAATTCAACTATACATGTATTATGTTTTTATTACTTCATACGTATAATATAATACGATATAAAAAACATTAGAGTTCATTATTAGTGACGAAGGGTAGCAATTATTCGTATAGTATATGTATATATTATATATATATATTTTAAACATTTAACATCAAATAGTATATTCAGTCGTTATAATAAATGTTATAAGACTCATGCTTTATGTATAATATGCAGCAATGCGCCTCTTAATCTCTGATAATATGTAAATATCTAAATCCGTAATGGAGTGATTCAGTATAAATTACGGGATTTGTATCTTCGACTATCGCATGTCGCTTAATGTTCGTTTCTTGTGAACATAAATGGACAAACAGTTCGCTCAACGTTGAAAACTATAATGTTGATTATTGTGTACGCGGTGTCGGGGAGTTATCCTTCCCCCCCCCCCCCCCCGGTCACGCCGAAAAATGGTAATTAATGATTACTACAGCCGTTGTAAATTGCTCGTAATTATTAATTGTTGTTTTCGAGTGTCTAGTATACTTCTATATACTGTACGTATAATTTTATGAGAAATTATAATATAATATAGACTAACAACTCGATATCCCTGTGGATCCGCTCCCGCATAATGATGTGCTATTCAGTCTTAGTAGATCACATTAATTAACGCAGAATACGTTGTCAACTCGTTACTTATTCTCCATCAGCGCCCAATCAATTTAACACATGCATACGCATATACATGTAGATATAATTTTGTGGAACTTGCGAGTTATTCATATTATAACATATTATATTCTACATTCTAAGCAGTAGTACCTAATAATTTCACTTCGATTCGGTTAGGCATCTTTTTGTTCTAAACACTATAGTATAGTAAAGTCGTACAAGCATCTAAATTATTTCATTCAAATTTCTATAGACGTGCGTTGCTATTATAATATATATATATAGAAGCTTAATCACTGATATAATATCAGAAATACATTTGATTCATATTATACACCAAATTTTATTTTGATTTTTAATCATGCATCATTTTTTTTTTTTGTCTAAATTTTAATTTGTTTAAGCGTGCAATTTAAATTAAGATTTAAGTTTACGATTAAAGTTTATCGGTATGACAGAGCTGGTATTTAAACTTTTTTTCCATAGCTCATTCGTCTCTTTGATTTTTACATCGTATTGACGTTTCTTAAATTATGAATGACAAAATTAAATAATATTTTTAGTATGTTTATAATTGTATTTATTTAATATTATAATGTACATTATAGGTATATCGATTAATGGCACGTGTCATTCGTGTCAATGTGTCATTGACAATATGATTATAGTTTTTATTTATCGTAACGCCACTTAAAATAATCACACCATCATAATAAAGTTATTACTTTTCTTCTCTTAACACAAGAGAGGATATTTTGCTTACTTTGCATACACAAGAGACGCCTTTTATAAGTTGGAGACATAAAACACAGTTTGAATACTTCTGGTATATACATAACAAATTTGGTTATGATTTTGTTTTATAATTCGTACCTTGAAGAGTTTTAAACTGTCCTCGCTTAAAACGGTATACTACTCTTCTGTTTGGTCCACATTGGAATAAACATCTGTTCTACGGAATG